GTAGCAGGTATAAAATTTAAATTTAAATAGGCCACTTTTAAGCCAATTTTAGTTGAGAAATAAATAACTTAAAAATAATGAAAACAGTTTAAATTTTAAAGACTATTTAAATAAGCCTACAATCAAAAAGGTCCCTTAACAATGAATGGCACAAAAACACTACATATTTTTAACTGCAACAAAAAACAAAAATTATTTCCACAGAGGAACAAAATCCCAAGCTCTTTTCTAATTATTGTACCAATTAAATTTTATATTAAATATAAATACATTTTGTACAATTTTATAATACATAAATGTAAATAAATTTAATAAGACATTACATATAAAAATATATTTAAAATATTAATATGGAGGACAAAAAACTTATCCTGTTAGCCAGCCATCTAATGGTCTCTATTTCCTCTATTTCGCCTGAGAAATATTGAAGGGTTCTATAATAAAAACAAACACGCAGCCACAACTATGCCCAAGGATAATTATGCCTTCCGATTCAGTTCAACACAGCATGCCACAGTTCTGAGACTCTATGTTTCTAAGTAGGTCATCCATGGGAAACATAATTTATCACTATAGAACAATTATCTAGATTTATCCAGGCTAAAAATTTCTGTCTTTTCATCACGTCTTTTGAATATCGAGTCTAAACGACAGCAAATTTCTAATATTCATGAAGCGGAAACAACATTCTCTGGTTCCAACTGCCAACCTACCAGCCATACTGGCTATTTTTCTTGATCACAACTCCCCATGCTTCCAGCAGCATTACTCCAAAGGAAAATTTCATTGTTCACATGCAGACGATATGGGCTACAGAAGGAGAAATACTATCCCCCTCCTTCAAAGCAGATCAGCATCAGTCCCCTCACTGGTGCCAGAAAAGCAAAAAAAAGACAAGTCTCGATATATATGTAAGGATGATATGGAATAGATTCTCTGTATGAACAGACTATGTAGAACGGACTCTGTATGAATAGAATACACAATGCAGAATGGACTCTCTATGGCCGAGGATGCTAGAATATAGTGTAATTGAAACTGGAGCAGTTTCATTTTTAAATCTTCTAACTAAGACCAGAATGGAAAGCAATATAGCTTTAAAAGGACCGTACAAAATTCTTTTTCTTAAATGCTAATTTATTGACTCTTATACCTAGCTTAAACCTCAAGACTTTCCCCAATCCTTTCAAACCTCTAAAATGACCGACCTCTGGTATTCAAGGAGAAGGCAGCCTCTTTTGGCAAGGACTCTAATTCCTGGCAGCCAAGACACAGAATAAACATGACATTGTCTTTATAATTCACTGGTCTACTTTATTGCCAGAACACAGGAATCTCCCAGATAAAACAAAGCTAAGGACATGCAACGAGACAACAGATGAAGGCTGCTCTTCAAATCCTAACAATAACCACATCAGACTGGATTTAAGAAAGGAGAATGACAACACTTTTAAGCCAAAGAAGACTGATTTGAAAAACAAGGAAGTCTAAATAAACAAAACTAGTCTGAACTCATTCATTCTTTCAACAACTATTTGAGTGCCTACTTTGTGCCAGGCCTAGTCTAGGCACCAGGGATGTAACAATAAACAAGACAAATCCTCTGCCCTCATGAAGCTCACATTCTAGACCAAGTAATAAAAAAACAAAAAAAACCAAGTGACAAATATGCAGGGGAGTGGAGATGATGCCAGGTCAGGGCCTTCTTATAGAGAAAGCAGTGAAGGAGAAAGTGGTACAAGAGGCAAAGCAAGAACCAGATTGTGAAGCACTTTGTAGACCTGTATTAAAAAGTTCGGAATTTATTCCACATGAAAGTAGAAATCATCAGAGAATGTCTTAAATGGGTAACAGGATCTGATATATTTTTTAAAGGTGACTCTGTCTGCTACATGGAGAATGGACGAAATTAGCAGGGAGACCTTAAGAAGGTATTACAAAAGCCTGGGACAGAGCCAATCCAAGCTTGAACTAGTTGGGCAGAGGTTTCAATGATAAACTAATCAGAGTTGGACAAATCAGGTAGAGCTACAAGATTCATTTTAAAAGAGGGTAAGAGCTCCACTTTCTTAACAAATTTGACTAAAAGACAAATGCATCTCAATTTAAAAATAAGACTTCACTAGGCAGTATAGCACAAAGACAAGCAGTGATTCTATAGCATCTTACTATGCCGATGGACAGTGAGTATAATGGGGTATGTGGTGGGGACTTGATAATAGGGTGGACTGTAGTAACCACAATGTTGCTCACGTGAAACCTGAGCATAAGATTGTATATCAATGATACCTTAATAAAAAATTTTAAAAAAAGACTTCACTAAAACTATCTTGTGTACTTTTAATGTAGCTACACGATTTAGATAAAAGGGTAATAAGGCTCTTCTAATTTTACTGTAACATGGACATTTGTTAAGCATACTAATGCAAATCTAAAATACAAATTCTGGCCAATGAATTTGACATGAAAAATGAATACCAGAAGAACTAAGTTTTGGGTGGTTGCATTAAAAAAATTTTTTTTCTTGTTTTGTTTAAAGAATAATTGACTTTTGATTTGGCCTGAATGGTATTCAGCATGTTCACTAATTAAGGTACAGAGATGATATTTTAAAAACTTTGGATTTTCTGCCAACAAATGCCTTAAAATTTATAGACAGCCTAACTTCTCTGACCTAATTACTAAATAGACATTAAGGAATTAGTTAGCATTAAGGTTAGCATTAAAGCATCAGAATCCAGATTGTGGACAGGCGAAGAAGAGATCCATTTCACCTCCAGAGTACAGTACAGGTTTAGCCAACAGAATGCTGAAACTATTCAGCACTATTTCAGAGCCTCAGTGAATGAAGCTGCTGCTATGTGGTTCGGGAACAGACACTAAGCAACAGACTTTACAACAAACAATACTAGATATGATGCTTTTTTTCTTTGCATTTCCCATTCCTCTTAACCATCTTAAAACCAAACCTAAATTGCTACCTTTTTCCTAAAAAAGTGGTTCTGATTAATCTGTGTATCAGACCAGTATTAAAACAGCCTTGGTCACACTTAGGTTTACTTAACATTTAAAGTGCTACAGCTGGCTAACAGCTGTGAAACATTTATATTAAACCTCAAAATGCAATGCTCCACTTTCCCCCAAATACCAGCCTTTAATGTAATTAATTAAAATTACACATTTCAAATAACTCTAATATATATAAATGTGAAAAAAAAATATGTATGATAGGCGGCCTAAAGCTTTTGGTACCACCTTTTTAAGAAATGAGTCTTCTTCAAAAACTAAGGCTTTCTCTTGTCAAGTTTCTTCCTATGATCAAAAAACTCTTTCATGTACCCTTTTAGCAACTCTGCTGTTCACTAATTTCTGCTGAACATGGCTTGTCATTTTTCTAACAAATTTTTAATTCTTTTATTTATTTCTAAAGAAGTAATACTGTTAACAGTTTAGCTTAAATGTCCTAAGGCTGATAATACATTTTTACATGTTTATAACATTTCTATTTGGATGTTTTACAGATCAACGATTATATGAAGTTGCTTCCTATATTAAAAACTAAAACTAAAACATGACATTCTTGTTTTTAAAAGATTAGTATTAAAAATTGCTATACTATAAAACTATCTTACAATACAAGGATCAGTTTTTTAAGCCAGTCATCTACTCACTTTCCTTACCTTGTTCCGAATACATCAGCATGAATCATATGTTAAATAACACTTTCCTGAACTTTGTCTAGGTAGTCCACGCAAAATACAGATTAAAACAGAGTTATAAATAAAGACGAAAATTCACAACTACAACCAAAATGTAAACTGTTTCTGTCTAAGCTTACTTCTAAATTCTGATTCTAAAGGAAGAGTTCTCCAAACAGGTGAATAGAGATTTCAATGAACAGCAAATAACACTACAGAAGGGGGTAAAAACGTGTTCGCTTTCTTCCGTGGGAGTGCACCAGTCATCTGGAGGGGCAACTCTAGAATAGAAGGCTTCAAAACAGCTATGGCAGAACACTAATGTACTTTAAAATTAACAATCCAGCCCTCCCCAACCCCCTTTCTTATTTTTGTCCTACCGATTAAGTCATGTAACTTGCAAAGTGGTATCAAGGAATCCCTGCCGTTCTGTCCGCAGGTAGGCGAACAGAAGGCATTTCTCCGTTATATGTTCAAAAGGTGAAAGCTAAGAATCTTTAGGGGGACTCACGTGCATATGGGTCTGTTTGGATCTCACCTGTGCCTGCTGTTACATATAAAATTAATTACCAAGTAGCTCTGAAATAGATAATGCTTAAAAAGAAGGGAGGAAATAGGCTTTAAGGTAACAATTCTCGACTTAAGGACCCTCCCCAGATAATTACTCATTCACTAAGTACTTATATAACGTATGTAGTTTGACGCTGAGAGTAAATTTTCGAGGAAATATTGAGTGTACCAGGAGTTATTCCGATGCAAAGTTCAAGAAATCTCTAAAAACGCTCCATACTTTAAAGTCAACGCCTAGAGGGAGGAAAGACCGGTAGCGTTAAAAAAAAATGCAGAACCTGACCTTGCCCACGAGTCGCACAGTTCAGCAGCCCTCCCCCTAGCTTCCCCGGGAGCCGGTTCACACCAATTGGTCAGTCGGCCTGTTCCAGCACCTGCCTGGCAGTGACAAGAGAATCCCCTCGGAAGACAGAGGGTCTGAGAAGGACGCGGCCTCAGAAACGCGGAGGCCTAGGAGGTAAAGATTTGGAGAGGGAAAGGAGAGGACCTTCGGAGGAACTAGGCCAGCGGCCAGGGGCTGTTGGGGACACAGCTTGGGAGGAGGACCGGGGGAGAGCGGAGGGAGGTCTCGGGGGGGCCCCGAGGAGGTGAGAGGTTGAGGGCCGCCTGCGGGCAGCCGAAAGGGAGTTAAGGGTCTGGGAGGCCCGGGGGCGCGAGGGAGGAGGACAGGGCCGAAAGGGACCGGCAGGCCGGGGGTGCCAGGGGCAAGGGCGGCAAGGGCTGCGGACTCACGTTCTCCCACCAGCAGGATCCGCACGTCTTTCTTCATGTCGGCGGCTCGCAAGGGCCGGGCTCGGCCCGCACGCATGGAGCGGACTCCTCTCGCCGGGAGCGCCTACCCCACGGCGCCGCGCTCCCCGCGCTGCCAGTCTCCCCCGCCGCCACGTCCGAGCCTCGGCCGGGGCCCGCCGCTTCCTCGGCCGCTCCCCCGCTCGGGAGCCGGGACCGCGCCAGCTCCGCCTCCTCCGGCTCCGCGGGCGGCGGCGGCGGCGGCGGGGCCGACGGGGCGCCGCGAGGGCCAAGCGCTTTCGGAACGCGAGCGTTCTCCGGGCCCGAGCGCCCCCGCCGACCGGTAGTCGCAGCTCAGGGCCCGGGAGCGTTTCCCGCCCTCACCGGGCGCAGTGACCAGGGGTGCGCTTCGGCCCAGGAGTTTGAGGGGGAGGTTCTCTGGCCTGACCCCATTTATTTTACAGAATACAGGCAGAAATTATTTGTCCAAGGTCACATACCTAGGGCTTGACAATGACTCAGGACGGGAATAATCTCACCAGACAAAATCCAGTAGGGCGGCGACCTACCTGGTTTTCCGCAGTATCCCACCTTATTAGACGTGGCCTGCAGGAAATGCCTGATTGAGTAGAGGATGACTGGCTCCCAGGGTCGAGCCCTTTCCACTACCCAAAGCCCACCACCCTAGCTGCATTTTGCCGGTGATGATTATAAATACGATTCTAAATAATGAGGTTTTTTTTTTACATAGTCTATGTAACAAATTCATTTCTTGGTAGCAAAGGAAGTGACTCTTCCTGGTCCAAGTCAAATTTACTTTCTAAGTTAAACTAAGTAACTTTCTGTGGTTTCCTTTGGGCGGGATCATCTGAAACTTCTGTTAATTTAGGCTTGCCCAGCATAGTGCGGGATGGCACTGGATAAGGAACTCTTAGTGATTTTTCTAATATTGCCTTAATTTCTTCCTGACCCTCTCCATCTGGAGGAATTTATTACTACATTCCTAATGCTAAAATAGTGCTTGGCGCACAGTGTGAGTTAGATAGATATATAGAGAGAGTTAATGAGGAACTACTGTGCACAATGTACCTTTTTATCTTAAATAGTAAAAAATAAAATTTTAAAGGAAATAATGTGTACAATACCAGTCCCTCTGCATCTTGCCTGAGGGTTTCAGCCCCACGCAAATTCACTACGTGTTCAGTGAGACCAAGGAATGACAAAGGAATGGTCTTGGGGTAAAAGTGTTTATTTATTCTCCCAGCAATAAGTTGAACACTAGAGTCACACCTGCATCCAACAATCCGCAGGTCTATAATCCTCGTCTCTGCCTCTGCTCAAAAGAGCTCTTTACATATTGACTCAGTCAATAATAGCTTATTGCCTACCACATAGCCTTGCAAGTAGCCAATTACATCATCAAGTAGTTAAGGTTCAGGTGAGGATCCTGGCCATGGGAACTTCCATTTTCCGCACACCCTGTCTCCTAGGAGAAGCCATGAGGTGTGGTGCAGCAGTTAAGAGCTGCTGACAAATTGCCTGGGTTTGAATCCAGAGTCCATCCTAATAGGTATGTGAGCCTAAGTACATTCTTTTACTTCTCCAACCCTGTTCCTTCATCTGTAACATGATGTGGGTAAAATTGTAACATTTCCAGAGTATCTCTCCTGGCTTTAGTGCATTTGCGCATCCTCAGGGGTGGAGAGAAGTTCATCTCCATGTCAATGGGTAATTACCTGGGCAACCGAGGGCGTGTCTGAACCTGAGAGTTTAAAGGGAGGGGCTGGCTGGCTTGCTTGTTTGTTTCTTACTCAGGAGCAGGGGAGAGAGACATCCCTGGACTGCAGTTTGTAAGCACTAAATGGGTTTTAAACTTTATTTCTCCCTTTGACTGATTTCGGTTTTTAGAGTTATTTTGCCCCGGGATTTCCTCTCCCTGGACTTACACATGGCAATAATGATAATAATACCTACCTCTTTGGTGGCTGTGAAGAATAAGAGGTAACACATGTCAAACCTTTAACGGAGTGCTCACAGTGCTTGCTCTGCTGATCTCAGCTGCCATTATTATCATAAAATTCACTGAAAAGTTGTAAGCCACAGATTTTGAGACAAATACCTTGTTATGTTTATGACAGTATTTCACCATCCTAAGTATATGATGTCCCTAAGGAGCAAAGAAAAGGAAGCCCTTCCAAAAAATGATCTCTGTGATATAAGGAGGGAGACACAGTAAAGACACGCTCCTGGCTCACTGGAAGATAATGAGGTTGTATTTCAGGATGGATGCAAATAAGGTGGATGGAAATATGAAACTCAGAAGGCTAGATAATCTGATCTTGTACTCCTCTGAATTTTAGTCTTACAGAATGTTTGAGGTGGAAGGACCCTTAGAGAGCACGTATACGAATGCCATTATTCTATAAGTAAGAAAAGCAAGACCCAGAGAGATCCTGTGACTTGCCACAGGCAGTACAGCTGAGAGAGAGCCCTGCTTTGCCATGCCTAGCACATGATTCCGGGCAAAGCACATTGCCTCTCCATGCCTCGGTTTCTTCTCTACCAAACAAAGATTATAATCTCTTCCCAGCCTTCTACCATGGAGTTGTTTAGAGCATCCTGTGAAATAATGTACGTGAAAAAGCTTTTTCCTAAAAAAATGAATTATGCAGATATCAGATTACAAAGGATGAAGGCCCTTCACAGAGGGGCAAATCCTTTAAGGCTCCGCTCACTCCAAGCAACACTTTATATGGCATCTTGATCTCAGGAGCATCAGCACTGCCAGCTGACGACAGTGTTAACTCTGTGGCGCTTACCCAGGAGTGTGAGAAGGGACAAGGCCTTCGTGGAGTTGTGCACGTGTGCTGGGTAGGGGCTTTGGCATTTCTATTAAGTGAAATGTATGAAAGGCAGGAGACGAAGAAGAGTCTAGCACCTCAGTAAAGTGAATATCAAATAAAGTGAGTCAAATGAATCTTTTGGTTTCCCAGTGCCTATGAAAGTTGTGTTTACAGTATACAGTAGTCTATTAAGTTAGCAATAACATTATGTCTAAAAATAATACATACCTTAGTGAAAAAAATGCCTTATTGCTAAGTAATGCTCACCATCATCTGAACTTTCACTGGGTTGTAACCTTTTCATTAGAGGAGGCTCTCACCCCGAGGTTGATTGCCAACTGCAGAGTGGTAGTTGCTAAAGGCTGGGGTGGCTATGGCAATTTCTTAAAATAACACAACAGTGAAGTTTGCTGCATTGGTGGACTCTTCCTTTCATGAGCATTTCTGTGTAGCATGAGATGCATTGACAGCATTTTACTCATAGTAGAACTTTCAAAACTGGAGTCAGTTCTCTCAAACCCTGCCACTGTTTTGTGAGCTAAGTTTGTGGAACAGTCTAAATCCTTTGTTGTCATTTGAGCAGTCTTCACAGTGTCTTGGCCAAGAGTAGTTTCCATCTCAAGAAACCACTTTCTTTGTTCATCCATTAGAAGCAACTCGTCTGTTAAAGTCATCATGAGATGGCAGCCCTTCAGTCACATTTTCAGACTCCTCTTGTATCTCCAATTCTCTTGCTGTTCCCAACACATCTGCCACTACTTCCTCCACTGCAGTGTTGAACTTCTCAAAGTCATCCATGAAGGTTGGAATCAACTTCCTCCAACCTCCTATTATGTTAATATTTTGACCTCTTCCCATGAATTGTGAATGTTCTTAATGGCAGGTGTAATGTAAATCCTTTCCAGAAGGTTTTCAATTTGCTTTGCCCAGATCCATCAGAGGCATCACTATCTATGGCAGCTATAGCCTTAGAAATATGTTTCTTAAATAATAAGACTTAAAAGTCAAGATGACTCCTTGATTCATGGGCTGCAGAATGGAAGTTGTGTTAACAGGCATGAAAACAACATTAATCTCATTGCACCTCTCCATCAGAGCTCTTGGGTGACCAGGTGCATTGTCAATGAGCAGTGATATTTTGAAAGGAATCCTTTTTTCTTAGTAGGTCTAAATAATGGACTTAAAATAATTCAGTAAACCTTACTGTAAACAGATGTGCTATCATTCAGGCTTTGTTTTTCCATTTACAGAGCACAGGCAGAGTAGAGTTAGCATAATGCTTAAGGGCCCTGGGATTCTGTGAATGGTAAATGAGCACTGGCTTCAACTTAAAGTCACCAGCTACATTAGGCCCTAACAAGAGAGTCAGCCTGTCCTTTGCAGCTCTGAAGCCAGGCACTGACTCTTCCTTTCTACCTACAAAAGTCCTAGATGGCATCTTCCAACAGAAGGCTGTTTTGTCTATGATGAAAATCTGTTTTTTAGCATAGCCACCTTCATTAATTGTCTTAGCTAAGTCTTCTGGATAACTTGCTGCAGCTTCTCCATCAGCACTTGCTGCCTCCCCTTGCACTTTTATGTTACGGAGATGGCTTCTTTCTTTAGACCTCATGAACCAACCTCTGCCAGCTTCAAAAGTTTCTACTGCAGCTTCTTTACCTCTCTCAGCCTTCCTAGAACTAAAGACAGTTGGAGCCTTGCTCATGATTAGGCTTTGGCTTAACGGAATGTTATGGCTAGTTTACTTTCTATCCAGACCACTAAAACTTTCTCCGCATCAGCAATGAGGCTGTATTGCTTTCTTATCACTTGTGTGCCCACGGGAGTAGCACTTTCAGTTTTCTTCAAGAACTTTTCCTTTGTATTAACAACTTGGCTAATGTTTGGTGCAAGAGGCTTAGCTTTTGGCCTATTGTTGCTTTCGACATGCCTTCCTCACTAAGCTTAATTGTTTGTGGCTTTTGATTTAATGTGAGACACATGTGACTCTTTCCTTCACTGGAACATTTAGAAGCCATGGTAGGGTTATTAATTGGCCTGATTTCATTATTATTATTGTGTCTCAGGGAATAGGGAGGCCTGAAGAGAGGGAGAGAGATGGGGGAATGACTGGTTCAGTGAAGCAGTCAAAACACACATTTACTGATTAAGTTCACTACCTTATATGGGTGCAGTTTGTAGCACCCCAAAACAATTACAATAATAACATCAAAGATCACTGATCACAGCTCACCATACCAAATATGATAATAAATAAAAAGTTTGAAATATTATGAGAACTACCAAAATGTTACACACAGACATGAAGCGAGCAAATACTGTTGGAAAAATGATGCCAATAGACTTGCTCAGCACAGCTTTGCCACAAACCCTCAATTTGTAAAAAAAACAGTATCTGCAAAGTGC